CTCTCATAAGTAGAGAAACACTGAAGCAAGTGATCTTTTGAAAATACTGAAAACTGACAGAATAAGGGTTTCCATTCTACTATGGTAGACCAGAAATAAATGTAAGGGCCGTCCTGCACTGACATGATCTTCAGTACATTCATTATCGTTAGCTGCATGGCTTTTAAAAACCTGGGAAAGGACTGTTAATAGTCAGCAACTGGCAATATCATTTTTTTCAAGAAGATGTTTTATTTAATATGCTTAATATTATTTTAATACATCAGTTATTTTAATTTAGCATCACAATTCCGTCACGTAATTTCTAAAACCTTGTTTTGTTACCCTTGCATGTGAATAAACAGATTTCTATCTCCTACCTGGGTCTCATCTCCCATTCTAAACTGCACACACCTAGATTGTTTTACTAATTGAATTGCAATCTTCTGTAGCATGCAAGAAGTGAAATCGCACCTCTTTTAAGAAGTCTAGTGATGCTTTTAATGACACATTAGGACTATTCAAATCTTTGTAAGTGGAGAGATTTCTACTTGTTTTTGCCAAAGAATTCATCTAATGACTACCATATTAGGATTCTCCAGAGGGACAGAATTGCTAAATTATTTATGCATAATTATGCAAGGTGATTTATTAGGTAGGCCTGCAGGGTCAGAGGTGAGAGCCCATAGTAGCCATTTGAGGATTGGAGAGCGTGAGGATTCAGCAGCTGCTCAGCTCAATAAAGTAGAAGCCACAGAACTAGAAGGATTCAGGATGACATACCAATCCAAGGCCAAAGGTGGGGAAGCTCAAGGGACAGTTCCTGCTTTGACTTTCCATTAGGAGGCTGAATAAACTAGTGAACAATATCCAAAGCTAATGGAACCAGAAGATACAATTTCATTTGTTCTGACTTGATATGTTTTTCTTCATTCATATTCTACTCACATTCTATCCTATTGATTGGTGTCACCTACATCTAAGGTAGTTCTTTCTCAGTTTACTACATCTCCACATACACACTGGGAAGCACGCTCCACTAGTCTCCTAGAAATTTCTTAACTCAGTCACACTGGCACATCGCAGTTACCTGTCACAACTACTTCACTGACTTTACAAGAAACCTGTGAATGCATAACAAATTCTCATCTAAATTACATGGTAGTAGAAGGAAAGTTTTGATCCTAACAGTAGAACATTTATTCAGTTTTAAAACTCCTCTTTTGTCCGTTTTTCTTTTTTGCAAATGTCTTATTTTTGAGAAGGTATCTTGAGATTCATCTCTATGCTTGCATTGACAGCCAATGTCTGAAGATGTCGGTTTTCTCATGTCATAGTTGAGAAATTGTTGCCCTAACATTAGTTAAGTAAAAACTTTTGCCTGTTAAGTTTAAGGTATGCACTTATTATTATTTATTTTCTAGTTTCTAATGTTGCTACAAAAAAAGCCTGATAATCTTCTCCTATCTGGTATTTATTGCTGATAATTCATATTCACTGTTATTGTTAGCCTAGGTTTACTGTTTTCCCATTATGGAAAATATCTTGATCATTTATTTATCTTTGATATTGTGAAATGTCATCAGATCAGTTGAAATTGTTCTTTCTTTATTCATCATTTTCTTGGCTTCTCATTTTAGAAAAATTCTTTCAGAATATATATTTCCTTTCTTTCCATCTCAGTAGTGTTATAAATCTCTATGATATCATACTTTCTGATGGTTAAGTTTGTCTCTTATCTAGTTTATCATAATGTTAGCTTATATTCTTCTTACTAATTTTAAAAGGATTGCATCAATTTTAGATTTTCCAATAATTTATTCACTACTTATTTGAAGCAAATATTTTATACTTGAGTACACGTCCATGTTTTCTTTTCTTATTATACAACTATTTGTTTTCTTTTTATACAACTATTTGTATGACATCAATTTGAAGGTATCAGATACAAATGCGTTTTTTGGATGTTTCAAACTATCAGAAATGAGTTCTATCTTTCTTCATAAAATATTTCATGTGTGCATATATCATTACCTCTTTCATCATAGCGTTTAGATATCTCTGAAATCTTCATAGTTCATATATTAAGAGCTTTAAAAACACATAGTTGGAGCTCTATATGGACAGGAGCTATGAATGATTTGAACATACTAAGGAGAATGTTCTATAAAATAGGTAAATATGCCTTCAATATAGGGAAAATTTTTGTTTTATTTGTTGTGCACTCTACTATTCCAATATCATAAGACTGCTTCTTTAAAAATTACAATAGTAGCTGTTTCAACATTTTCTCTACTTTTAGTAGATTTTGAGATTTTATAAGGCAAAAATGAAAAACTCTATGTGTGGCAAAATACTGTTCACTCTTACTTTTCAGATACCGTTATTATTATTACTGTTATTGAATTGAGCTCTTGCTATGTTTTACAGGCTAGTCTTAACCTCCTAAATTCAAGTGATCTCTCTTTTTCAGCAGCTCATGTTGCTTTGAGTATGTAGCTCTATGCCTGACTTGTTTTGATTTTGTACATTTTATTTATATTGTCTCTTTTAATAATTTAAGTGTACAGTAAGGAAGCATATATACAGAGTTGCAATCCTGTGCATGATACATAGGCACTGGTTAACTATATCAAAATATAAAAGGAGATTTTAATTTCTGGATAAATGGAAAAGGAGCACTGACTGCTGGCTGTACTCTACCCCTTTTCTGGCTGTTATACTGAAGAGACAGACAGTCATGGTGCATACTACCACAGCTAACCTCAAAACTGTTTAAACATTTGAGACAAACATAAATCAGTTGTGAATTTCTGACAGAATTTCAAGACACTGACTTAGGGGTGGAGAGACTGGAGGAAAACTTGATTTGTGCTCCATTCACGACTACTCCATATAATTTTCTTAAGAAAAGTTACCACACCTGCCTACTGCTAGGTAAAGAAATATCAATGCCAGTGAAGAACTCTCCAGAGCTTCTTTGTCACATCATTGAGCTATCTGAGCCCAGCTTGGATAAACAACTACAAATAGCAAATTAAAAGTTTCACTGGTCCTGAATGTTGCCTTCAGATATTAGGAACCAGTTCTAAAGTTATGGATTCTTATGTGAGGAAAAATGTCAAAAGAGAATTTTTTTTGTAAATATTTGTAAATAAAGTTTCATCTCTTAGTGCTATATTTTAGGAATAAAAGCAGGTAAGTTGAATAAATTCATCTCAGAGAGTCAAGACTGCAAATCTTGTTGTTACTATGAATTTTTGACGATGTAGAAATATAGAAAGAATATCATATGAGATTACACAGTGATACATGACATGAAATCTTTGATGAATGTAGATTAAAAAGCACTTGAAACACTAGTTAGGAAACTCATCAGGAAGGGTTAAAAAAGATAAAAAATAAAATTGAAAAGAAGAAATGGATTAAATAAAGAAATGTCAATGCTGATGCAATAGAATTTCCTGGAAAAACAAAAGAAGGTAAATTAAAGAGCATTAACTGCATTGGAAGGACAGGAAACTGAGGACAAGGATGTTTATTGTATTTGGGTACAACTCATATTGCCAACAGCCTGTGATTCAACACATTGTATAAGAATATGACTCTTCTTAGAGGAAGTACTCTGACTCATAAGAGAAAACAGAACACAGAGATGTGTTCTGTGTGCTCATGAATCTGGCTTTGATTGATTACGCTGCTGTCTGAATCAAGGACGGCTTTCTATTTACAAGATTTGACAGCCATCCATAATATACTTTGAGATGAGAATTTTTCTGGGAATTATGCTTTATGCTATGATTTTGCTACTAGCCTAATCAGGTCAGGTCTTGAGGGCACACAGAAGAGCACTTAAAAGAAAACAATAGTCAGAAAATAAAACAGAAAAAGCCAGTGACATGAAATAAGAAGGAGGCGTGATTACTTGGTAATGAATTGAAACAGAAGTAATAATAAACAATGAATAGGTTTACATATGAGTACAGTGAACTACTGAGTAGAATTGTTATTGTCCAAAGTCTGCACTACATTTCCGATGTTTGGATACTTTCCATGTTTGATTTTCTGGACAACCTCCCTTTCACGTTACTCAGGGACGCACAAAGAGGAATGACCTAAGACTACCAACTTTGCTGTCTTGTCCAGAACTGGAGCCAGAGTCTCCAGCTTGTTTGATAAGATTTGAGGCAAACCATCACTCTGTAAACTATAATACAATACAATGTAATAATATTCTACATGAATACAGAGCATTTAGTCATTTATGTGGCATATTTCAGGTCTTTGGAAATAATATGTTTCCCTTCTAATAGTTTCTGTGATGCAAAGTACAAATTCAGGTATTTATTCTTCAATAAATTTCTTCTGTTTTTCTAAATGAAAAGACAGTTTATGAAGAGATTCAGTAATTTATTAAAACTAGTAGATTTTTAAAATATATTTAATAACCTTGAATTGCTGATAAATCAAGAAATTGAGATTGAGTGCTGTCTGTCACATACAAATATGAAGTTGAGATTCACATGTCAAATTATATGAATTCAAATTCATATAGGTTTCTCTATAGTACAAAACAGATGAATCATATTGTATTGCCTCTAGGGCCACCTGATGTGCCATACTTGTTTATAGATTTTTCAGTGTGGGCTCAGCCATGTTCAAAAAATAGATAAACTTGCCTATCCAGAACTAGGAAGGGCATCTTAAGTTTTACTTGTTCTCAGAACTATTTCTTTCTCTGGCCTAAGGTACTTCTAAGGTAATTTTTTTTTTTTAAATAGATTATTGCCAGACTGAAAACTTTTAGGACAACTTCAGATCCACTCACTTTGCTGTCTTTAATATCTCTCTCAACAGTTTAAATAACATTTGTCAACACAAGAATATATCGAGAACTTTCAAGATTAAATATGTTTGATATAACCCCACAATAACTTATGGCCTTAGTATTGAAAGTCAATATGCATTTACAATATCAAAAAAGTTGTTCACATTAACATCAGTAAACCACGCGATCTTACCTAGACCATGTCTATGTGTTGACATCGGAGGTAAGACAGTCCACGTCTTGGTTTTGGGATTGTAGCATTCAACAGTGTTCAATGTCTTTAAGCCATCTCGACCTCCAATTACAAAGAGTTTGTCGTCAATAACAGCCACGCCAAACTGCAACCTCCTGCCGTTCATCATTCCTGCCTGGATCCATAAATTTGTTCTGAGGTCATACTTCTCTATGGTTGTAGCTCCTGATAAAACATAAAATCAAACAGTCACCAACTGCTGCTAACCAACCTACAACCTGCCCAAGGCAGTGTACATAGTATGTAAAAACACTCTTGTCACATTCATTTTTTCTTAAAGAAAAGAGTGGCAGAAAAACAAAGGAGTAGTAATTCAACTACTTTATTTTCTTTTTCAGAAACCATTAATGATCAAAACGAACACAAATGTTCAGCTTGTTTGAATAACATAAAGTTCTCATGCACTCTTGATTCAATAGAAACATTGTTGAACATGACTCAATGTTACCAGTAGATTTCAAAACTCCCCTATACAATTTTTTTTTTTTTTTTTTTTTTTTGCTATTTAAATAAATGTAGTGCAATCTTAGCTTGAAAAAATTTATGCTTCACCACCTCCACCCCCTCCCTGCCGCTCTGTTTTACTATGCAGGTCAGGCTGGTGGCCTGGAACTTACTTTGCAGCCCAGGCTGGCCTCAAACTAACAGCAATCCTTATGCCTCAGCTTCACATGGTGGTGCATGGAATTATAACCATGCACCACCATGACTGGCTATAATGGATCTTTTAAATGACAGTTTCCACTAGCTGCATAATTAATGAATATTAAGTTATTTGACTAAAATATTACCTGTATCTCCTTAAATTTATTTTAGGCTTTAAATGAATGAAGTCAAATATAAAAGGTTTAAGCAAATATTTACTCTCTTTCTTAACCTTGCAGAATAACATTGAAGTACAGCTTAGCAGAATTTAGAGATGAAAAGTGTTCTATCCTTACCAATCATGTTATAACCTCTAATTAAATAACTTGCCATTATTAAAATTTTAAAAATATAAATTTGTAAAACACGGTTACTCTGAGTAATGGAACATAATACATAATTTGAAAGAAGAAATAGGCTAAATTTCTAGCGAGACTTGTTTTAACTGATTACTTCTCGATTTACATAGAAAGATCTGCCTAAAACTAGTTTGCTAAAATTTACATGACTATATGTAGTAAAGAGCAATGCTTCACTGTTTGATCTGGCTGGTCAGATTTACATTCATCTACTTTACATCCTCAATAACTAAATGTTCATACAAAGTGAATGAACAGTTTTCTGTGTTTTCACCTAAGCACAATATGTTTTACTCGAAATGTAATAGAATTTGCAAATGTAGAAAAATATTCCTCATGGGGATGCTTTTATTTTTTAGAACCTAACCATTAGTGAACTAAATAAATATAAACATCTTGGTACCAGACATTTTCTAATTGAAAAAAATGATATAATTTATGCTGAATTTTTATTCAATGATAACAAAATAGTACCATAGAGACTTAGTTTGATTAATTAAATCTGCTTTCTGATTTAAATGAAAATATAAATTAATTTTTCTTATTTTAAAGGATTATTAAATGATTGCTATACTAAGACTAACAAGAGTCGTTTAAAATTATTTGTTTAATAACTTATATGTAATATTTTAAGCAAATATACTTAGTTTTTATGTGCTAATGTAGTTACTGTGTTTTATACTGAATATTTTATTCCACTGTGTAAAAATATAAATCTCAGAATGAGTTATATTGCTGAATATTTGGAAAGTAATTTGAATTTTCCAAGTCAAGTCAATAGCACTGCTATTATATGCAGCCTAACTGAAAATTTTCAAATGCCATACGGGTACTTGTCTCTTGTGACTAACTATTGCCAAACGACGGAAAATGAAAGAGTAGAGCCTAATTCTTGTAAACTCAGTACATCAGGCTCACATTTTGCACCTGTGGGTTGACAAAAATGTATTTCAACAACGGCATTTACTTTATTCAAACCCTTGCTTGAAAGATTAGTAGAGAGTCTGAGATGCAGTTGTGCTCCTCAGAGAAAACCTGAAATACACAACGTTAGTGATTACCTAGCAACCAGAGGAATTGTTTATTCAAAGGGAAAAGCAAGGACTTAATGTGAATTTCAAGGCCTTATCCTAACAAGCTGGAGAATTCTGACTTCTCAACACATGACAGGGTCTTCTACTTTTACACTTTTTCTGAATTTCAGCTCCTAAAGGTAACCTATACACTAATTCTGAAGTTGCTATAGCAGAATGGGTGCTTGTACCGTTCTCCATCTTTTCAAACAAAAGCTGCATTAATTTTCTATGACTGTTTGCAAAAGTCATCTGAAGTCTGGTGGCATAAACAGCATATGAGGAAATTGTTATATTTGTAGGTTTTCCTTATATCAACCTAATATGAATGGTCACTGTCTCATTCAGTCATACATGCTACAAATATTTTAAATAATTTTAACAGTATAAAGTTAAGCATATAATTTCCATTTTGCAACCAAATGTGCTAATATTAATATTCTTTAAGAGTCATACACACCAATGTTCTATCTTTTTGGGCCAAAGAAGAAAAGAGACAATGAAAAACTTTAGAATTTCTGGTTTCTTAAATTAGTAATATTTATTAACTGAAGTATCTTGACAAAGCAGCAGCACTAATAAAAAGAATCACAATGGTAGTTATGCAATCAATTTAAAGACTATTCAGAGGGAAATTTAAAATTTCCCTTTAAGAGACTGAACTTGCAGTTACTCTAGTAGTGAAACACATTGGCTATCTTAAATTCCTATAAAGTATAAAAATGACTATAAATTCCAGGCCTGATACACAAAGTCTCAATGTTTATAACGCTGCTTCCATTGGGAATTCTACTTTAGTATTGCTTCAAAATTATCTCAAAATTATTAAGAGGCAGGTATTTTTAACTTTGGAATATTCAAAAGGTAAATGTATGCAATGAGATTATAAAATTTAGGAGTATTAAACAAATACATGGCCACATCTATTCCTATGAGATTACTGTCAGGAGCTGTTAGATCTGTTTATATAATAGTTTGTGTCAAAGCAATTTGAGGATTGCATAACCTGTTGTAGTGTATTTTTTTGTCTTTCAGTGAACTATTAATTTGTGCAATAATAATACTATTTGGAAAAATATATACTATTATTTTGTAAAATCTAAAGCAATTTGTGACACACTATAATTTAACTTAATTATTTCATTCAAAGGGAAATCTTATTCCTGAAAAATAAAAATTACAAAATAAAATTAGTTGTTTTGAGGCTATGTAACATAAAACTCTCTATATGCATTTTATATACTTCATTATTTATTGTTGCCTAGATGCATACTAGTAAATTATATTTTTGTATTTAAAGTAATTCTTAAAATTAGGGATCTATTTTGGAACCTTTAAGTATGATGGATTATCAGTCCATTAATTGCTATACTAAATGATATAAGGATTTTATAATAGGAATATTACCTCAGTGGCACAGAGGACATAACCCCTTGAAAATGGACGAAATTTTCTAGTGATAAAAAGGACCAATGAGAGGGATTTAAAACATGAATAAGACTCAATTTTCTGTTACTGGTTAGAAAATTGAGGAAACACATGGAAAAAAAAAATGGAAGAGGATTCCAGCAACTGGAAATAAATCTTATCCAACACATCCCAAAGAAACAATATGTTCATTCTACAACCATAAGAAAAAAGAATTGCTAAGACACTATGAATATAATTGGAAAAGGACCAACTTCATTAAGAAGATACACTAGCAAAAACGATCCTTCTGAGGTCTTAGAAAATCTAGATATGTTACTCTAGACTTAGAAACTTTGGAAATCTGAGATGATAGGTGGTAATTGTTATAAACTACTTTACCATGTGTAGTAATTTGTTAAAACAAGAGGGCAATGCTAGTTCATTTTGATTTGCATTTATATAATTTATTTACTTTCCAATAAATAAAATACCATGAAGTTATTGTTATAATATACTTCATAGCAATTATACTTGATGTATAAATATTTTCATCATGAAAAGTGATCACTTTTGTCAAAGCTTAAAATTAAGAAAAAGATGTACACTCAGTACAGTATTAAGTATTAAATTCAACTAGGTAACATTTTATCTCTACTATAGTTGAGAATTATTGGGAAATTATATTAAAAGGTATAGCTATAGAGATTTTTTGTTTTTAATTATTAATGAACTTGAGACAAGACTAATTTTGCTATCAAGCTGCATGAACATAGGTCTGACAGGACATTTTTAGAATATGTCTATTGATGAATTATTAAATGTAATTGTATGAGTTTTAATATATATATATATATTTTTTTTTTTTTTTGTCTTTTTCATTTTTTATCGGTACCAGGGATCGAACTCACGACTGCCTGCTTGCAAGGCAGGCGCTTATGCCACTGAGCTAAATCCCCAGCCCCTGAGTTTTATTATATTTAACAGTTAGTATCTAGCAGGAAAAAACTATAGGAAAAATAGGGTATTGTAATTTTCTGTGTTTACATAAAAGCAGCAAAATTTTCAACATTGACTTTTTTGGTGTACTGCAGTTTAAAAACGAACACCACAAGAAAATTCTTGTGTGAACTACAATACAAATACCAACAGAACTGTACCATAAAAGTGAGCTTTGCTTCAACCATCCCAGCCAAGGCAGTCTTCACATGACAACTCCGTGTTCCATGCACTCATCTCGTGTACACTGACAGCACGTGCGTTTACCTTGCTTTTCCTGTGTGACAGTCTTGTCACCTCTCTTCTCTCCCTTAAGGAGTTTCCTACTATATTATACAGCTTTCTCTTACCAAGGAAATAAGTTATCAATAAAACAAAATATCAGTTATGGAATGGATGCTTAGAATAGACATCAATATTTTCATATCAACTGTTTCCTTCCTTACAAAAACTAAAAAATAGCATCAAAAATGAAACCCTATGTTAATTATAATGTAAACACAAACAAAAATCTACCACAGCTTTGCTTCAACCGTGCAATACCCAATGTCTTCACACATAACGACTGCATTTTCATAGATGAGGATCACTTAGACTGGTAACATGCATGTTTTGTTTTATTGTACTTGTAGAGTTCACCTGACATCTGTTTTGGGTTCATTTTTGTCATAGTGTGTCTTTG